AGACCCTGCCTTAGGGAAAAAAAAGTATAATATTTTTACCATACCAGCAACAGAGGAAAATAAAAGCTTACATTAGACTCAAAGCACTATTGTTATTTAAATGCTGACAGTTCTCCAAGACTCAAGAAAGTTGCTTCCTCTTCCTCCCTCAATCAAGAGGTAATAGAAAAAAGGTGACTGCATGCGTGCATGTGCATGCGTGTGCGTGTGCGTGTGCGTGTGCGTGTGTGTGTGTGTGTGTTTGTGTTGGGTAAGCCCAAAAGACTATGGGCTCTCTTTGAGCTCCTACTGTATCCTGGCTGCTATCCCTGACTAGCTACTGTATATATGTATGTAATAATGGAAGGAAATAGGGACAAGGAATGTGTGGCTAGGGCTCGTTCTCTCTCTCTCTATCTATCTATCTATCTATCTATCTATCTATCTATCTATTTATCTCTATCTCTCTATCTCTCTCTCCCATGGGGATTAGTGCTCTGCCTTGGACACCTGCACTCATGTGCTTATACCCACACATAGATACACACACACATAACTTAAAATAATAGAAATAAATCCTTAAAATGTGGGAGAAATGACAACTATAGATTATATTTGCAATTAGACATCTAGCTTCCCCATATGCTTTATAGACTAAGAAAAAAATTAATATAAATACAGGAAAAAAAAACAGAATTCTCATTGACCATAGAAACTAGTGGACTTCTTGCCTTTTTCTTAGATATTTGGTTTTTACCTTAACTGTCCAACATAAGATTATTTTTCTAACATAAATAAACTCAACTTGTGGTTGATGAATTCCATTCCCACACTGTTTGGAAAGGTAAAATACATAGCAGTTAACATGAACTGGGGATGGGGCAGGCAGGCTGGTAGAACACCTGATTTATAATAGCCTTCCCTTTTGTTTATTATAAAAGGTGAGGAAATAGGAAGGGGTGATGGTGAGGCAGGAATGGGGATGTTGTGCTTTTTAGACTACTTCCTGTTGCCTGGAGATGTTGACCTTTTGGGGGAACCAAGAAAGCTGGGATGCTGGTCAAGTCCTGGAAGAGCAGGTTATTTCGTTTGCTGTCACAGTTCTGCAGGACCTTCTGGGGGTAGGAAAGTGCAGGCAGCAGTTGGAGCAGTTTGTGAGACTGGACCACCTGGGGCTACACATTTTGAAGCTGTCCAGGATGCAGATTTTAAGGAAATACCTGGACCTGACAGGATGCTGGATATATATTAGGGACCGAAGATAAATTTAAGGAGTTTAGGGGGAAATTTTTTTCTTAGGTGTATATTTGAAACTTTTAGGCCCCTGGTACTTGAGGGAAGGAAGTCCCAAAACTAGGGAAAGGGGGAGATCCCACCCTAAGGAATAAGTGGAATAGGCAGTGGGGAACAGGCTGTTGATTGACAGGAGTACTTATCTAGAGTCCATTTGACCCAAGAGAGGTGGATTCAAGTCAATTCCCTGAAGCTTACAAGAAATTAGTAAGTTTACAAAAAGAGATGAGTTTTAGATATGTTAGCATTATCACTGTCTGTAATCTGTACAGAAATCCACGCTGTAGAAAAGGCAGTAGACTCATACCTTTGTGTCATGGGAGAAGCTTGAAGAAAATAGATTAAAAGCATGTGTAGCTAAAGTTTTCCTGTGTCCTGCCTGGCCTGTGGTCAGTACAAATCTCTCTCACGTACCAGTCCTGCAGCTGCTCAGACCCAAGTAAATACAGAGAGACTTATATTAATTAAAGCTTTATGGCCTAATGGCTCAGGCTTCTTGTTAGCTAGATCTTACATCTTAAATTAACCCATTTCTATAAATTGCCACGTGGCTTGTGGCTTACTGGTATATTTACATCTTGCTTCCTCCGTGTCTGGATGGTGACTACTGACTTAGCCTTCCTGTTCCCAGAATTCTCCTCTCTCTTTGTCCCACCTATACTTCCTGCCTGGCTACTGGCCAATCAGCACTTTATTTATTAACTAATCAGAGCAACACAGTCACAGCACATAAAGTGATATCCACAGCACTTCCCCTTTTCTTTTTTCCAAAAAGGAAGGTTTTAACTTTAACATAGTAAAATTACATATAACAAAACAATTATCAATCAAGAATTATAGTTATAATATCTAGTCTATTTGTATTTGGCAAAATTAAAGAAGATATCCTATCTATCCTATATTTGTGAGTCTAAGGTTTCATATCTAACTTATCTTTTATCATAACTAAGGAAAATTATAACTATCTAGTCTTCAACTACATCAAAGACCTCAGAAGGATATACTATTACCAGAGAAATGGAAGAAGGATGCAGATAACTTTGGGGAGTCTTGTGAGAGTAGACAGAGACAGCTGGCAGCCTGGACAGTCATCCAAAGTTCCTCTGTAAAGTTGGGGCATCTGTCTTCAGCCCATAGCCCTAGAGTCTCTCAGTCACTTCTCTCTGTGTCCTGTAGAATGTCTGTCAGTTTCCTCTGAGAAGCAGGAACCTAAAGGACAATTTTGCCAAGCAAAGTTCAGTAGACACCTTACTATGGGTCCTGCATGTCCATTTGATCAAGCAGTCCAGGCAAGAACAGTTTCTTGCCCAAATGGCTATTTTTGCCAAGAAGAAGATAAACTCCATATAGAGTGTCTTTGATGCCCATCCTCCTCTCTGAAGTAAATTGGTGCTGCCAGGAGCAGACATGTTTCACTATCCAGAAAGTCTAAATTTTTAAAACATTTTAAATGCTGTATTCTGCAGGTCTTTGATGGGATTGAAGACTTAACAGTAACAGTTACAATCTTCTAACTTAGCTAGAACATATTAAGTATTAGATTCAGGTTCTTCAGGATAGGGTACCTTTTGGAATGGTCTCTGTAACATGCCATCTACCCATGCTCCAGAATTCTCTGGATCTTAGTATGTGTCTCTTGTTTGATATTATTCATGTTGATTGTAGTTCCATCTTGTCTAGGTCATTATCCCTTATTCCTCCTGGACAATATTTGATAATCATTTGTAGTGAGCACATACCCCGGTTACAGGGGAGGAATAATCACTCTTGATTCAGACTTAGTATAACACTCATTTATTCACACAGTAAGATTTCAAGCAATATTCATCCTGTCTTCCAAATGGAAGCAGGAGTACCTCTCCGGGTGTAGAGGTCCGGACTCACCACATCTGTTCCTCTGGATCTTGGGTCAGCCTTCCTCAGGTCAGCCACGTCTGCACTGGGGACAGGATCTCACGTCTCTGGCAGAGGAGAGTCTTCTCACGCGAGGGCCTGACGAACTCTGTTGGTCAGGTCTGAGGCTTCATCTTTTATATTCTTTCCTGGCTGGGTTTCTAGTCTTGTCCCTACTTCCACACATAGCTTATAGCTTATCACTACTCCATTTGTGGTTTACTTACATCATTCTATTGCTTATCACTCCTGACCAGGGTTGTTCACCCTAGACCTTACATGTGTTCCTTACACTTCTGTTGAGAATTCTCTGTATCTCATTTTTAGATCTGTACCCCATTTTTAAATTGGTGGTTTGTTGATGTCTAGTTTCTTCAGTTCTTGATATATTTTAGATATTAGCTGAAAGGGAAAAATCAGTAGCCATCTTAAGAGATGCTTCCCCCTCCCCTCCTCCAAAGGTATCTGCTAACCAGCAGTTTTAGAAGTGATCAGAAATTGAACTTATAAGGCTGGGACAATAAATCTATGTATCCTGGACTTGGCAAAACAAGATACGGGGAGTAATGGACTCAACTGATGAGAAGTTGACCTTAGAGGACTGTAGGACTGCAACAATAAATCTGAATGTGTCAACAAAAGCAGGACATAGGGAATAAAAATTTGTGTCTCTATAGATACCCTGAATCCTGTTAGCAAATAGTAACCTTATGCTTACCTCACTCCTAGCCCCCTCGTCCAATTCTAAGCTGCATGTAAACTTTTCCTATATAAACCCCTTAAAGTGAGTGCTTGGGGCATTCTCCTCCACCCACTGTGTTGGATGCTAGATGTTGGCCAAACTTGCTTGTTTTGTTAATAAAAACCTCTGTGTGCTTGCACCATATAATGGCTCTGTGGTGGTCTTGCTTGGGGTCTTGCAACCTGGCACATTAGCTCTATGTCAGATGTGGGGTTGGTGAAAATCTTTTCCCAACCTGTGAGCTGCTGTTTTATCCTATTGACAGTGTCCTTTGCCTTATCACAGAAGCTTGTCAATTTCTTGAGGTCCCATTGTCAGTCTTACTGCCTGTGGTATTGCTATTCTGTTCAGGAAGTTGTCTCCTGTGCCAATGTGTTCAAGGCTGTTCCCCACTTTCTCTTCTATCAGGTTCAGTATATCTAGGTTTTTTTTTTTAATAAGATTTATTTATTTATTATTTATACAGTGTTCTGCCTGCATGTATGCCTGCAGGCCAGAACAGGGAACCAGATCTCATTGTAAATGGTTGTGAGCCACCATATAGTTGCTGGGAATTGAACTCAGGACCTCTGGTAGAGCAAGCAGCCAGTGCTCTTAACCTCTGAGCCATCTCACCAGCCCCAGTGTTTCTAGTTTTATGTTGAGGTCTTTCATTCACTTGTATGGAGTACACAGGGTCCAGGGGCTTAGCTACATCTGACATGGGATATCTGAGGGGAAAAAATCTACGTGCACTATGTTCTTATGTCTGTTAGTTTTATTCCTCTAAGACAAAATTCTATCAGTACAGCTATAGCTCCATCAGGCATTCAAGGCAGGAATAACTCTAGACATACCAAGCTCTATATCTGTCTACTTTATTTCTCTGGGACAAAATCCTGTCTCTATAACTACAATTCCATCCAGTTCCCCAACTCATAGTCCTGTTAACAACTAAACTCCTATGCTTCCAGCCTCATCTTTGTCCTCTGTATCCTCTTTCTCCATCTGTGCTGCTCTCTACTCCTGGCACTAAGAAAACTACCTGAGATCTGCTTACCCTCTACAGAACCTCTGTCATCCTCTTTTCTCTCTGTTCTGTCTGTTTCTACAGAAAATGCCTGTCTTCTCTTTCCCTGGACATGTGGTTCTCTGCCTCCTCAGGAATGATGTTTACTTCCCATGTAGGTATGTAAAAACCTCTTTTGTTCTCAGTCAATTGCTCTGGAGAACCACTAGGCCTCCTCAAGCTGAGGGGATGGTCTGAGCTTCATTAGCACAAGAAACAAAGCTATGAGTCTCCCGCCAGCTTGTCTCCTAAGCTTAGTAACTTAGTAGGTTTAGCAGGTCTGGGGAGCTGAACTGTTTACCAATTGGTCTGGGCATGCAAGGATTTCATAGCAGAAGACAGGTGGACTATTAAAGGCTGGATAACACCAAATATTCATAATAAATGGCTTTGCCTTTTGACAGATCCATGGCCAGTCAAAGTTTAGCTTTAATACACAACTGAATCTCTATGATATATTCTGTGGCCTGCAAGACACTTGGACTTGAGTTTTGTGTAGGGTGATTATAATATGAATGTTAAAAGATCTTATTAACAGAAAATCCAGAGCCAGATATTGGGGTGAAAACTGAAAGATCAGAGAAGCAGAACAGCTAGCCATTAGCTTACCTCTACAAAATCCTCAGCTTCCAGAGAGAGAGTTTCTGTTTCCTCATGCTTTATGCTCCTTTCTTTGCCCAGACATCACTTCCTGCAATGAAAGATGTGTATGCTTCCCAGTCCTGGGATTAAAGGTGTGCCACCACTGCCTGGCTCTGTTTCCAGTGTTGCCTTGAACTCACAGAGATCCAGAGGGGTCTCTGACTTCCAAGAGATAGGATTAAGGGTGTGTGCCACCACTGCCTGACCTCTGTGTCTAATCTAGTGGTTGGCTCTGTCCTCTGATCCTCAGGCAAGTTTATTAGGGTACACAATATATCACCACATTTCCCCTTTCTTGTCTAAAATAATAGAAAGGTTATAACTAATATAAGAAAAACTATATACAATAAGTACAATAAGTATATTACAATATATACAGTCAAGAATTACATTAACAATATTCAGTTCATTAACATTTGACAGATTCAGAGAAAACACTCCATTTTGTTTTCAGAGAAAACATATCCTATTTTGGTGAGTCCAAAATGTTGTATCTAATTCACTTTCTATCCTAACTTGTATTACCAACTGAAAACTATCTTTTGATGTCTTTCAATCTTATACACTTTACACATTTTTAGTGAGTTTCTTTTCTGCATTTGTTAACAAGGAAAACTATAATTATCTAATCTTCAACCCCCTCAGAGACCTGAGAAGGAAATAATATTACCTAAGTAAGCAGGAAGTACAAGAAAGCAACTTCCAAAAAATGTGAGAAATGACAGAAACAGCTGGATGCCTGGACAGTCACCCAAGGTTCCTCTGCAACGTTGGGGCATCCCTCTTTGGCCTACAGGCCTAGCATATCTGACAGATTCATTTGTGAAGCAGATTTTTCTGAAGGGCCTTCCTACCTTGTCTTGGCAAGGTTTAGTAGTCCTTTCTTTTGTGTCCTGCTTGTCCATTTTGGACAGCATACTGTTTTTTTTTTTTTTTTTTTTTTGGATTAAATAGTTGTTTTCTGTCCTATCATTTCTATATCATACATTTTTATATCATATCCCCCTTTCTTCTTTTAGAAAGAGGTTGACTATGACCAATAACAATTTGTAACCAACTGCCTAAACAAAGACAAACATCAATAATCCATTTCTTGGCAATGTGAGCTTAGTGTTCCAGACTACTTCCTGCTGATTATGGGTGCTGTTAATCTATCCTGACTGGATTAATCTGTGAGGCTGGATCATCTTAGCCAGTTGCCTTGAAGTTGTTCTGAATGTTGGATTATCTGGAAACCTCTCAGGGGGTCTTCCTTGATGGAACCATATTAACCTGGAAGGAATCCACAGCTTCTTCTCTTCTGTGGAAACAAAACCAGAACCTCTTTTCCAAAGCAACATCTCCCTAGACCCAAATTTTGAAGTAAAAAATACCTTTAAAATATATATATATATTGGTTTAACTCATCAGACTTTACAATCAAATGTCTCTCTTGAGTTAAAAATCCCAAAGACAATATAATAATACGCAGTATCCAGATTCATTATGTAAGTTCCATCTTTATGTGGCTTAACTTTTTTGTTTTGTTTTTTTGTTTTGTTTTGTTTTTCGAGACAGGGTTTCTCTGTGTAGCTTTGCGCCTTTCCTGGAACTCTTGCCTTTAATCCCAGCACTCAGGAGGCAGAGCCAGGTGGATCTCTGTGAGTTCGAGGTCAGCCTGGGCTACCAAGTGAGTCCCAGGAAAGGCGCAAAGCTATGTGGCTTAACTTTTATATTACGTTTACTGTCTCTTTAAAGACTTTATTTTTTAAAACCATTTCTTTATATAACTGCCTGTACTCCTTTTCCTCTCTCTTATTAGCCTGTGTACATTTTTACATACATTGTAAACTGTAACTAGAAAGTTTCTTTCTGAGTCCCACCAAGCCCCCGCAGTCCCGCAGCCCACTTATAAAATAATCACTCAGAAGTTTATATTAATTAAAATTGCTTGGCCTTTAGCTCAGGCTTATTATTGACTAGCTCTTACACTTAAATTAACCCACAATTCTTATTTATGTTTAGCCACGTGGCTTGGTACCTTTTCTCAGTTCTGCCTTCACATCTTGCTTCCTCTGTGTCTGGTTGGTGACTCCTGATTCAGCCTTACTCTTCCTAGAATTCTCCTTGTCTGTTTATCCTGCCTATACTTCCTGCCTGGCTACTGGCCAATCAGCATTTTATTTATCAACCAATGGAAACAACACATTCACGCATGCAGAGCACCATCACCCATCAGTAAACTGTTTAGAATTTTTTTTAAGTTTAAATCTGTCCTATTGTGTATTTTGTAATTCTGCCTGACCAGGAGAGATTTTAAACTGTTAAGCTGCATGGCTAGGATGAAAGTGGCAGCAGCCCTGGCTGCTGGTTCCACCCTCTTGGCTTTTCATCATGGCACAGGTACCAATGAGTCATGCTTATCTCCCTAATTCTGGGAAGCAGTATTAAGTTGTATGCCTGTGTTCTTAAGCCCAAGGCTGTGCTCCCAAGCCTGCAGGCAGTAGCTGGGCAAAGCCTCTTTGTATCAAGACTTGTGAGAGACTGCAGGAGTCCACCAGGTTGCCACTGAAGGCAACTGCAACCAGAGGACATGTCTCTGTACTGTTCCTCTGTAGTGAGCGACATGAACTAGGAAGCTGTTCTTGGCTTCATTCTAGACTCTCTTTTTAAATTTTCTCAGGTTTTAGGTGGAAACTCTTGCCACCACATATGCACACCATTTGTAGTTCAATGTTTCTTGGTCCTGCCTGGTCCTGTGGTCTGGACAAATCTCTTCCATCCATGGTCCCACAGCCACATATAAAATAATCATTCAGAGGCTTATATTAATTACAAACTGTATGGCCTATGGCTTCAGCTTCTTGTTAGCTAGCTCGTTCATCTTAAATTAACCCATTCCTATTTATTTATATATTGCCATGTGGCTGTGGCATTACCAGTCTGCTGGCATTTTGTTGCTCATTGGGTGGCAGGCGGGTATCTCTTTCAACTCTCCTTTCTTTTCTCACTATCTCTCTTGGATTTTCCTGCCTGGCTCCATCCTACCCTGCCATAGGCCAATGCAGCTTTATTTATTAACCAGTTGGAGCAACACATAATCACAGGATACAGAAAGATATCTCACAGCAGTATATTCTTTTGTGTTTGGGTGAAATGTTCTGTCATTATCTGTTAGGTCCATTTGAGTCATAATGTCTGTTAGCTCCACTATTTCTCTGTTAAGTTTTTGTCTGGATGACCTGTTCATTGAAGAGAATGGGGTATTGAAGGCTTGTACTATTAATGTGTGAGGTTCAAAGTATGATTTAAGCTTTAGTAATGTTTTTTTTTTCAAATGTGGGTGTCCTTTTGTGTGTGGTATAGGTGCTAAGAACTGAAATGACATTTTGGTGGATTTTTCTATTGGTGAGTATGAAATATCCTTCTCTATCACTTTTGATTAATTTTGGTTTGAAGTCTAATTTGTTAAATATTAGAATAGCTATACAAGCTTGCTTTTTGGATCTATTTGCTTGGAAAATCTTTTTCCTACTCTATCTGAGGTAATGTCTATCTTTGATATAGAGGTGTGTTTCATGTATGCACATCAGCAAATCAAAAGAAAAAGCACACATGTGCATGCACAACAACAGCAACAAATTAACAGGAATTAATAATATTGGCCATTGGTATCTCTCAATATCAATGAACTCAATTCTCCCAATAAAAAGACACAGGATAACAGAATGGATATGAAAACAGCTCTATGTTTCTTATTTAATAAGACTGTTTAGAAATTTGACTACAGTTTATCATTGAACCTCTTTTTAGACTAAGGAAGCAACAAGTCTCAAATATTTTGAATTGGTATGGACTTTTTGTATGATGATAAAAAGTTAAAGTTATATTTACTGCAACATACTACATATGTGATTTCCCTCTGGTTTAGAATATAATGTATATGATGATAAAACTTTAAGGTTATAAAGGTCTACTCAGATAAACAAATGCTGGTTTAAGATATATGTCTAACTACTTATGTCTTTGCTAACTGGTCAACACCAAGCTACTAGAAAATTTAGACAAGTAACAACATATATTTGATAAATTAGGTGTATTTGATAATCAAGATTTATAAACTCCTAAGGTATACTCAGGTTCACAACAATATTGGTCTAGCTTCTTCATCTTTGTTCATTTTGTTAAACTTTAGATATTTAGATAAACTAAGCCAAACAAAAAAACTGCAATATTCCATAATGGTACACTATAAAAGGATCATCAAAGTTGCCAGTCTCTCTATGAAATGTATCTATAATTAAAAGTTTTATTTTGATACTGGAAGAACTTCAATTAAAAAATTGTTATTTTTAAGGCTAAACCTAATAAGGATGGATGTAAAGTCCTAGTCTTATAAAAGCTACTAACTTACTGTAAATTGTTAAGGATAATTAAAACATACAAGTTAATGATCAGTCACCTTATAAATGATCAAATTCTTTAATGTGTTCAGACTAATGCAATTAAGTACAGGAATAAGGCTTATTTAGCCTCACGTATATGTTTTCAAAGTTAAGCCTGAAACAAGTAACTAGAATCAAGCAAAAATTGTTTATTTTAGATATACTTAACAGACAGATGGTCCTCAAATGCTTCAGAGATCTGCTGAATATGGCATTTAAAATGTTTAGTTAAAAAAAAAAACACCTTTTTTTTGTGATAGAGAGAAGTGCCAGCTCCTGGAAACACCCCTAATCTCCTCCAAAGAAGATGATGGGGTGCAGAAGAACCTCCACCTGGAGTTTGCTTTAAATGTGGCAAAGTAGGCCACTGGTTGAAAAACTGCCTTTCACCTCACTGGGTTGTTGATTGTCTCACTCTGCCTAGACATAGGAGGTCAATTCCATCAAGTTCCTACTCCACAAGAAAGTCTATTGGATCATTTTGACCTCAAAGCTGAAGACTGATGCTTCCCTGGGACCTCTGTCTCCAATGACCATGGAGGAAACTAGGTAGCCAGTAAGTCTCTGTTGTCCTTTTCTTAAATTAAAAAAAAAAAAATTATTGCCTTTAAAGCCACGGCTGTCCAAATCATCAACTGCAACTCCACTGCTATCAGCTACTGCTAGTAGCAATTAGGCCACAAGGACATTAGCCAGAGGGAATTCTGTTCCCTCAGGCTCTGACTCTTGCAAAGCTATGAAGGGAACTTAACTAAATCTCTATCCCTCTAAAGAACTCAAGATTCAAAGGTTAAAGTGGAATTCTGCTCTTCAGAGAGGCTGAATATCAGGTAGCTCACCTCCTCTCCTTGCTTGTGTTCTCCAAAAAGCCCTCATGCTTCTCTTTGCCCCTTCTTAAAAACTTCTCCACCTGGCTCCTCCCTACCACTTCCTATCAGCTAGTTGCTGACTCAGCCTCCTGACCTCAGGTGAATTTTATTTACTCAAACACATCTTTTCATCATTAAACAAATGTTCCAGAGCGTAAACAAAAGTAACACACCTTAAAATAATATTCTGTACCAGGTGGTGGTGGCACACACCTTTAATCCCAGCACTCGGGAGGCAGAGCAGGCGGATCTCTGTGAGTTTGAGGCCAGCCTGGTCTACAGAGCAAGATCTAGGACAGGAACCAAAACTACACAGAGAAACCCTGTCTCGAAAAACCAAAATAATAATAATAATAATAATAATAATAATAATAATAGTATTCTGCAACAAGTCTTTGTCATTTTTAATAGATTCAGAAGCTGCTTGGTGTATACTTCCTGCTTACTCAGGTAAGATTTCTCCTTCTCTGGTCTCTGATGGCCTTGATGACTAGGCTAGTGACAGCTTTGTCAGTTTAACAGCAGCAACCAAGGCTTCAGTTGCCTCCTCAGTTCTCTTCACGTGTAAAAATCAGGCCTTAGGCCTCACTTTCCTAGAATCACTACTAGGCCTAGACACAGTTTACTTGCCACAAGACCTCCAAAAGCAGATAACCTCACAAAACAGATTTCAAAGTAACTTTTTTCTATTCCTTTATTTGACAAAACTCACTTTACAATAATTGCTCTCAGTAATCAACCATCTGTGTCTTGTGGTGAATGACTGTACAGAAAAAGGTATAAAGTTTACATGAGATCTGAGGATATGAAAGCTTTAGTTGTGATAAGAAAGTGACTTAAGGAATGTAAATGCAATTTGTAAAGGTATAAGAAAGTGACTTAACCAATACTTTTAGTCCCAGCACTTGGAAAGCAGAGGCAGTGGATCTCTGGGTTTGAGGCCAGTTTGGTCTACTGAGTGATTTCCACAACAGCCAAGGATACATGGAGAAACCCTGTCTCAAAAAACTATTGAAAAAGCAAGAAAGAAAGAAAAGAAGAAAGAAACTTAGGTACTAAAAAAACGAATGCTTCAGATTTCTTTCTCCCTCTGTTATTGTTATATTAAGACTTCAAAAGTTCAGAGTTTTAGCATTAACCAATGAAGTTTTGATAAGGTATTAATTTAGTTTTGGTAAACTCTGACTACTATTATCACAGTCACAAGCTCATGATTTTAAATTTCCTTTGGTTGTCTTCTAAGTAGAGCCTTAAAAGTGCTTCTCATTGTGCTAAAAATGTCTGTCTAATCTACGTACACCCAGTCTTCTGGATAGAGAAGAAGGCCCTCTTTCATGGTATATATTTATACTGACAATCAAGATCAATCCAGCTTTTGCCCTTCTGCTCCATGGGAAGTTTCTGAACTCTCTGAGTTTGCCTTGAAGAGCATTCATGCTTATTGGTGGAAGTATTAAGGCAACTCTACATAGTTAAAAGAGAGGTTTATTTTGTGGGGTAACTTACAAGTAAAGGGATAGGTTACAGGGTCCTGGAAAGGTATTGAGCAGTCCAGTGGTGCTGTCTGAAGAACTCTGCTCAATCTACCTCCAGCGTCCAGGATCCAGGAACCAAGAGAGCTGGCACATCTGGATCTCAGGTCTTAGGGGCTCCTGTCTTGGCCCCTCACAGGTGTAACAGTTACCAGAAGCCTCAATGGGGATAGTACTTCCAGGTCAAAGCTGGAACAGCTATCCACTACATCTCCCCCTTTTGTCTAAATAAGAAAGTTCTAACCTAATACAAAGCTATATACAATAGGAATGATGTAAGGAACACATGTAAGGCCTAGGGTGAACAACCCTGGTCAGAGGTGATAAGCAATAGAATGATGTAAGTAAACCACAAATGGAGTAGTGATAAGCTATAAGCTATGTGTGGAAGTAGGGATAAGACTAGAAACCCAGCCAGGAAAGAATATAAAAGATGAAACCTCAGATCTGACCAACAGAGCTTGTCAGGCCCTCACGAGAGACAACTCTCCTCTGCCAGAGACGTGAGATCCTGTCCCCAGTGCAGACGTGGCTGACCTGAGGAAGGCTGACCCAAGATCCAGAGGAACAGATGTGGCAAGTCCGGACCTGTACACCCGGAGAGGTATTCCTGCTTCCATTTGGAAGACAGGATGAATATTGCTTGTAATCTTACTGTGTGAATAAATGAGTGTTATACCAAGTCTGAATCAAGAGTGATTATTCCTCCCCCATAACCAGGGTATGTGATCACTACAAGAAGAATCTAAAATGGCCAAGAAATAAAGAAATGTTCAACATACTTAGCCATCAGGGAAATAGAAATCAAAACCACTTTGATATTCCATCTTATACCTACCAGAATGGCTAGAATCAAAAATACAAGTGACAGCTCATGCTGGCAAGGATGTGGAACAAGAGGAACACTCCTCCACTGCTGATGGGAGTACAAACTTGTACAGCCACTCTGGAAATCAATATGGCAGTTTCTCAGAAAATTGGGAATCTATGTACTTGAAGACCCAGCTATACCACTCCTGGGCATATACTTAAAAGGCACTCCATCCTATTACAAGGACATTTGCTCAACTATGTTCATAGCAGCCAGAAACTAGAAACAACCTAAATATCCCTCAACCAAAGAATGGATAAAGAAAATGTGATACTTATACGCAATGGAGTATACTCATCTGTTAAAAACAATAACGTCATGAAATTTGCAGGCATCATGAAAATCATCCAGTGTGAGGTATCCTAGACCCAGAAAAATAAACATGTTATGTACTCACTTATAAATGGATAATAGCTGTAAAGTAAAAGATAGCCATGCTACAATCCAAAAATCCAGAGAGGCTAAGTAACAAGGAGGGCTTAAAGGAGGATTCAAGGATCTCCCTGGGAAGGGGAAATAGAATAGATTTCTTGGGTGGATTGGGCACAGGTGGGGTTGTGAACTGAATGGATCAGGTGGGTGAACGGAAATACTGGGAGAATCAACTGCAATTGGGAGGCATTTCAGGTATGAGGTGGAAACCTAGTGCAATGGAAATTCCATGGAATTTACAAAAAAACCTATCAAAGACTCCTAGTAATAAGGGTCATGGAGTCTGAAACCGGTCATCTCCTATAACCAGGCAAGGCCTCAAGAGGAATGGTTGAGACACCAACTCAGCCACAAAATTTTCGACCTACCTGAAGAGTGTTCTGGGACCGGATCTTGCAGAATAGTCATCAAAGAGACTAGAAAGATTCCATCCAGCAACTGATGAGAGCAGATGCAAAGTCCCACAGCCAAATATTAAGCAGAGCTCAGGGGAATCTTGTGGAGGATGGGGAGGGAGCCAGCCTTGATGTGATGGTACGTGCCTGGTCTTATTGTAACTTGTTATGCCATGTTTGGTTGATGTCCCTGGGAGACCTACTCTTTTCTGAGGGGAAGCAGACAAGGGGGGGGGATCTGACTAAGAGGGGGAGTAGGGGTAAGGGAGAAAGGGGAAACTGCAATCAGAATGTAATATATGAGAGGAGAATAATTTTTGGCCATTGATCTGTACTGAGGCCAAGCTGTCATAATAAAATGAGTCCATGGAGGAAGAGAGATATTAAATTCCCCTCAGGGGCCTGCCCTGAGGAGATTTTTCCCAGAGTTCTAGGGAAGACACTACAGGGGCTGGGATACTAATCTGAGGGATATCAAATGTATCTACATACACAAAACTCTTTAGTCCACTCACTTTATTCTTCTAAGTCAAAATCTCTCTACACAGCTTCAGTTCTGTTCTCATACTTAGTTCCTCTCTATCCCTTCCTCTCCTGTCCTCTCATTGTTCTATCTACATTCCTTCATCTTCATTCCTCATCTTAGTTCATTCTTCAAGTCCTCTCAAGTCTCTGAGGCTTTCAGTTATAGACCCATACAAAGCAACAATTCTCTGGCCAAGCAGGGTCATCCAGGCTTGAATTATTCCAGGATCATAAAGGCAGATAAGAGTTTACCTCTGGCAGTGACTGTCAGGCTTTCTTTTACAACCCAAAAAGGGAGTGGTTAAAGGATGTGGGGTCAATTAAGACCTAAAATCAGTTAATATGTCAGAAAAAGGGAACTTATGTGCTCAAACTACATTCCTAGAAGTGGTTAGGTAAAATGTTAGGAGTTTACAATGTTAGTATAAATCATGAGTAAAAATAAAACTGCCTATATTTCTTTAGGGGCCATAACTGTCACTGTAAAACTCGGCTACATTATTATCTGGCAGGGTAGGGGTAGCTAGGCAGCCTGTGTCACAGCTTAATGTATCTGGTATGCAAAGGCCCTTTTGTTCTAAGTTAAATGTCAAATAAGAAGTCTAGAGATACCATTAAGGCTGTGTAAGAAAGAAGGGTATGATCTTAATTTGCACAAGAAACAAAGCTATGAACCTAATGTCCACCTGGCCTAGGAAGTGTCTCTGTATGGACATTTATCTTAATTCAGGAGAGTAGCAGGTGGTTTGGAATTCTTATTCTGTCTGCCATTTGTCCTTGGATGTTTGAGAGGTATCTCAGATAAAATGCTTTTGTCCAGAGCTGGCCCTGGCCTTGGATGCTAGCTAAAGGGGATATCTGTTTCTAATGCTAAAAGGAAAACAAAAAACCAGGAAGAAGGAAGTCTTGCCTGTGTGACAGTTATCCAAATACCTAATTGTATAGGGAAAAACTATGCCCAAAGAATGATCAATAGCACACAGCAAATTTACAGCAGGAAACAGCTAATATTCAAAAAGCCAATATCACCAAGACTCCGAAAGACTTGGCTTCTCTGGAAGGCCCTTGGCCTTTTCCAGATATAGCTTTATCATAGTCAGCTGAATTCCTATTTCATATTTCTGTGTCTTGTAGCAGAGAGAGAGGAAGTATGAAAGTGCAACACAGGTGTGTTCCTATAAGCTCAAAGTTGATGCTGCAGGATGCAAGCTGGAGCAAGGAGAGAGCAGGAGAGAGGAAAGATATCCACATGGGTGCAGAAGGCTGCAGGAGCCAGAGCTGTGTGGAAGGCACACTGGGTTTGGGAAGGCATCAGCTGAAGAATCAGACTCTAGAATCTGGAATCAAATTCACAAACAAATGATCAGTACATACCTTAGGAGAGTTAGATCAGCAGCTTGATTCAGAGCTGACACTGTGGGAAGAGCAGGTGTGTGCACCTGCAGCTGGCTTGCTCCTTTGCTTTTCCCCCTGTCTCTGCTAGGTCCAACTCCAGCTCCAGCTCCCACTTCACAACAAACTTACAAATCCATCAGCCATAACTTAAAGACAGGGCATTTATACAATATTGGGAGGAAGACCAGACAAAAACAAACAGGGCTTAGAGTGAAGAAAAAAATAGGAATGGGGAATTTTTTTGCCATTCACCTATCTCTTGCAGTATTTGTAAGGGTACAGGATAATATTGGGATCTAGGGTACTGTTAGTCGGCTACATTTGAATTGATTATCTAAGGGATATTGAAGCCAGATTCAACTGGAAGAGTGGATAAGTTTAGAGGCCCTTAAGTTGGGCACTAGGTAGAATGGCTGGAGGTTCTCCAAAGGGCATCCCAAGGGAGAGCCTGGAGGTCCAGTCAAGGACATAGTTCCCATGGGTGAGGTAGAAGAGAAGGTCTAAGGATGGAAGTCCAAGGCATCCTAAGGACTTGTGGAGGAACAAATAAAGGCACAAGTTGAACAGTGAGTCATCACCTAACAGTTCAAGGAAACATGGATGAATGCCTAGTACCAGAACTTTCAAATGAAGCCATAAGGTGAAACTGAGCTGAAAAATGAAGTCTCACCCAAGGGAAATGGTCAGAAGTGGGTGTCAGTGAAAATGGTCAACGGTAGCCTTAAAGTCCATGGCTGGGGGTACCTCCACCTCCAAGAATACCAGAGGAGTGCTGGACACTTTGGTCACAGGATTTAGTGGCAGGGCACCTTGGCAGGTCCAAGCCAAAGTATGCTGCATAGGTCATACCACACAACAGATCTCACCTAAGAGGCTTATTGAGAGAAGGGGGAGCAAAAGGCTTTCTCAGAGTAGAGACATGAGAGATAGAGATAGAGACAGACAGACAGAGAGACTGGAAGACAGAGAGAATGAGAGAGAGCAATCTGAGATGGTGGGGACCTTTTAAAGGGTTGACAACTAATGATGATGTAGCTGCTGAGTCACTGAGTTCCTGAGGGGCAGACTGACAGAGCACCTGATTTATAACACATGGAGAAATTAAGTTGGTAATGACTGGGAAATTTCCCCCTGCTGCCTAGCTTTTCATAGTACTGGAAGGTGCTATGTTGGCTGCTGGCAGGGAGAAGTAATCAATAGTCATCCAGCTGTGGACCCTGTGAATTGCAATAACCAACTGCTTTCTGCCTGCTCAACAGGAGGAAACACATGCTTGGTACTATAAATTTGGCAAAGAACCCATGGTTAGGTAGCTCACAGATCCAAGGGTGAACCTACTACTACTATTATTCTGTTAAATAGACATATATCAAACTGCTCTCTGAATTTGTATCTCTCTGCCCATAGATGAATTAGTATAGCTCTCAGTCTTCATTAGACAAGTTTCTTCACATAGTGCATGGTGGTTTACACTTACCGCTGATCAAAGCAAAGAGAATAAATGTTATTGGAGTACTCAACTGCAAATGTGACAGGTATTTTACCACCACCCCAAGGCTCAGTGACCATTGTGGAAGACAGAGAGGAAGGACTGTAACAGCCAGAGGTCAGCAAGGACCAGAGCAAAAGTATCTTCTGGACATGACGAAGCCACTGCACTATGAACTCACTGCAGCAGTGGGACCACTGCACTATGAACTCACTGCAGCAGTGGGACCACTGCACTATGAACTCACTGCAGCAGTGGGACCACTGCACTATGGACTCACTGCAGCAGTGGTGACTACTGCACTATGGACTCACTGCAGCAGTGGTGACTACTGCACTATGGACTCACTGCAGCAGTGGTGACTACTGCACTATGGACTCACTGCAGCAGTGGTGACTACTGCACTATGGACTCACTGCAGCAGTGGTGACTACTGCACTATGGACTCACTGCAGAGGGGTTACCTGCATAGACCTGTATACAATCAAGGTAGTCAACATTCCAGAATGAAAGAGGGATGGGGTTACAAGCTCCCACCCCTAACTGAGGAGCAGTTGATGATTGACAACCTCTGAGGAAGGGAATCTTTAAGGGTATGGTTGCTGGTAGGTTGACCATTATCCAGTGATGGCCCAATACACAAGATCAGGAAGGAATTTCTGAAAAGGACTCAAATAGCTCAGGAAATAGCCTCAGAAACTAACGAATGAGAATGCATGGAATTAAAAGGCTTTGGAACAGAATTAAAAAAAAAAGACCTTAGTTAAGAGACGGACTAATTAAGAGATAGAATGGGAGAGAATCTTTGCCAACTGCGCATCTGACAAAGGATTTGTATTTAAAATCTATAAGTAATTCCAAAAATCAAACATCAAAGAATCATACAATTTATAAATGGTCAAATGAATAAACACACCATTCTCAAAAGAAGACAAATGGCTGATAACTCCAACAGCCTGTGTTCAATTTCCAGATCTCACATAATAGAAGATTAAAAAACTAGTGCACACAAGATGTCCTCTGACATCCACACTCACACTGTGGCACCACCCCAGCAAACATACATACAATAAACAAACAAATTTTCAGATTTGTAAGCATTTGTGTGTGTGCCTACACACACACACACACACACACACACACACACACACACACACACACACATACACACGTGCATGTGCACCCATGCATGCTTGTGTGAGCTTATGTGTGCTACTTGTGTGCAGGTATCCTTGGAAGCCAGAGGGTCAACTGATGGTGCTGGGACCAAACCTAGATTCTCTGCAAGAGCAGTAAGTGCTCTTAACTTATGAGCCATCTCTCCAGTCCCCTGTAATAAATTTATTTAAAAAGAGAGTGAGGAGAGAACAAGAGGGTAATGGGAGTGGGGAGAGAAAGGTAATATAGCACCTGTTTTCTACCATACTTGGAATTAGAGTTAAATATTTATGTATTTACACACATATATGACATGAAAGCTGAAGGGGACAGTGAGAAGGGGAAAGAATGGACACCAGTAGGACAGGGTATGAATATGAACAAAACATAATGGTAGAGCTGGAGAGATGGCTCAGAGGTTAAGAACACTGACCGTTCTTCCAGAGGTCCTGAGTTCAATTCCCAGCACCCACATGGTAGCGTATAACCATCTGTAATGAGATCTGGCTCCCTTTTCTGGCCTACAGGGATACATGCAAACAGAACACTGTATACATAGTAAATAAATAAATCTTTAAAAAAAAGACATAATGGTATATATGTATGTTATTTTGTGTACTAACTAAAAAATTTAAGACATTACATGAATATCTAAATACTATAACATTGTAAGTGAAGACATAAGAAAGTAAATATTAAAAAAATACAACAGGCTGAGATGGTTTGATTATATGGACCTTAATCTCAGATTTGCTAGTCACTGGCTTTGTGGATTTAAGAATAATCACTTATGCCAGGTGGTAGTGGTGCACACCTTTAATCCCAGCACTCTGGAAGCAGAGGCAGGTGGCCAGGCCAGCCTGGTCTACAGAGTTCCAGGACAGCCAGGGCTATGCAGAGAAACCCTGTATCAAAAAAAAAAAAATCACTTACCTATCTATAATGAAGTTTTTTTTTTTAAGGTATGCTTCAAACAGTTGTACAGACCAATGAATCACTTCTCCATTTTAGCTAAGATTCCTTACCAAGTGATGAGGGGTGGGGGCGTGATACTTAGTGTAGGAAGAACACTCCATTTCTAACATATACTCGATATGCATGCTTTTATATGGGGACTAGATGCTGTCTAGTCTGGCTTACAGACTGAGCTACAATGTGACATGTACTGGAAGATACTGAGAATGTAGTTTGGGAGGTATAGTGCTATTATTGTTTTAGTTAGGTCTGTGGTGCTAAGGATTAAACTCAGGGATGGCTGAAGCATAATCACTTGAGCTGGACAACACAACTTTATCTAAAAAACAAAGCAGGGGGCTGGGGTGTGGCTCTTCAACATGCTGGATTTGATGACACTGTCCTCGTGGTCCACGAGGAGAAAAAGTGGCTGAGATGAGGAACCTAGCCTGTCTGACATATGAAGGAAATGAGACCACAAACAATAAACTGGCTTGCCTTGTGTGGTGCTAACCGACATTGTTTATTAGTTCATCTCATTTCTCACAATGCTATGAAGTAGTATTCATCATCCCCACCCCATGAAGGAGTTACCTAATACTGTGTAAGTTCATACAGAGGAGAGCAAAGCTCAGAGCACTTAAATAACTTGACCAAAGGAAGAGCCTTGAAACCAAACATAAACTTCCACTAGCTAATTCATGATACCCATTCACTCTGTACAACATTTCCTGGCACCTAGTCAGGTCCCAAGCCACCTGAACACAAATCTCTTAGAAACGATAAACTCAACTAGTTCAAGCTAATATTGTCAACAGAAGATACCTGAATTAACCCCAAAGTAATGATTCTTAATGTTAAGGAGCCAAGGTCCCCTCTGATAATAATTGGGGTTCCTCTCCCCCAGAAAGATGTATACAGACACACAACTACAAAAGTGTGTCTAGAATTTCAAGGATCTCCTCAAGCTAAGGGCAGAATCTTTGTTATTTGGCTAGCTGGTGTTTTAGTGATGGAGATTGAACCCAAGACTTCACTCCCTAACATCACAATTCCAGAGCTAGACACCACCCTTCCAAGTTCAAAAAGACTACACCCTGGACGGTCCTTCCAGCCCATTAGCAGAGTCAGCAGGGATAGGATGGGAAAAAGCTCTGCCAGCAGATCCCTATGCATTTTACTGAATAAGCCCCTGAGTTCTTGCAAGCTGTGTGGGATCAGGATTCTAATGCTTTCCTTAAGCCAGGACAGAGCAGGAACAGCTGTGAGTGGGACCTCCTGGAGAAAGCCTCTGTAGCCAGCTGGTGTTGCTGCTGAGCTATGAACTGTTAGGGGCACTCACTATCTGCTGAGGTTCTCCGAGGTCACCTCAGCCTAGAGACAAGAAAAATAGGGAAGTGAGATCACAGTGACTGGCTTTCTTGCCCCTTACTGTGTTTAGCAGTAGCTTTTTCCAGTCTTATTTTCTGCTGCTCAAGGACCAAAGTGCAGATAATGAAACATGATTAAAGAATGAGTTTAGACGAAGGTTCAAATCTTAGATTCTCTCCTCAGTAACGGAAATGAAGGTAAGTTACTTAGCATCTCTGAAAAGGTGTCTGCTCTAAAAAAGCATGGACACTAAAACTCATATTGCGAATATAAGTGAGAACTCAATAAGATACAATGATACCTGAACAATAAACAATCACTAAAAACAGACCTTGTAGTTGTCAGATCTTAAAGAAACTCAAGACAAACAGCTAACTGAGGCACCTATTTAATATCAAAGTGGACACTAGCAACCAACCAGGTTCTCCCAGCATCTCTCAGTGCCTGTTACACAGTCTTGGCTCTTCCCAGCACTTCACACACACACACACACACACACACACACACACACACACACACACACACACACACACACAAAACCTACCCTAAACCTCTCCAGGCCCTAAGCTTGGCTTCTCTTTCATATGTGATCTCAACTGTTTGGGTTACACGCTCTCTTGGTGCTCTTGTATCTGTTCATGGCCTCTTGGTTCCTCTCTCTTCCTTTCTCACCTCCACAACCCCTGTGACCAGATCTATTCTACTGGCTTGATCCAGTTTGGACCCTTCCAGATACCTCTGGCTGTGCTCTCCCTCATGTCTACAATAAAACCCTCCTCAACCATACCTAGGAGCAGTGATGTCCTCATTTTCATTCAGTGGTGTTTCTGGATATCAGTTTCCACCAATATTACTAGGAGAGTCTGCTCAAGTCCTGGACTCAAGTGGTATTGAGACCGCAAAGAAATAAGGAGCGATCTATATACATCCTATCCTCTATAAGTTACAATAAATGACTTCTTTGGGCTTCACACTTTGTCTGGCACAGTGCTTGACAATCAGTGAACACTGACAGGTACTTGCAAAAATAGTAAAGGAACTTGGGGAAAGCCAAGGTCACTTTAAAAGGTTCAATGAACTTCCTGCTATTGTCAAAGTAAGGACTCCCTTAAACTATGACTGTCTTAAAGGAACAGAGCACTCTGCAGAGGCTCCCTGGAATAACTAACTCCAGCCTCCATAGGAGGTATGTCTGGAAAATCAGATGTTTGAATTTTTATTCCACTTGTATGTCTGTCTACCACAGGCATGCCTGGTGCCCCTGGAAGCCAGAAGAGGGCATCGGATCCTCTAGGACCAGAGCTACAGATGGCTGTGAGCTTCTGTGTGGGTGCTAGGTATCAAAGCTCTGTCCTTGGGAAGAGCCGTTGGTGCTCTTAACCCCTGGGCCATCCCACTAGCTCTCCTGCATATTTACAAGGAACAGATCTGAAGAGGATTAACAATTTAAAAAATATACTATAGACTTAACAAAATCGAATATAAGACTTTTGAGGAAAGAGGAGAAATGGACCTGTCAGCCATAGAATAGACCCCAGTTACTGTGTAAATTACAATGGTTTGATTTGTTTAGAGGGGAGATAGGTGCCTCCATATCCCAAGTGCTGAGATTATAGGTATACATGCCACACTAAATTATTCAACAACTATTTGACAGCAAATAAATGGTTTGAGAATGATGAGAGGACTCAGAAGGTAAAGGTGCTTGCTGCCAAGTATGACAACCTGAGTTCTAGCCCTGGAGTCACATGGTGGAAGAGAAGTGACTCCTGAAGGTTGTTTTCTGACCTATACACACACACACACACACACACACACAGATACACACACAAACAAAAATGCGACACACATGAATCCATACACATAAATAAATAAATAAATAAATAAATAAATAAGTGTAAATTTTAAAATAATAAATGGTTAATGTGTCTATTATAACTCCCTGAAAGAAAATACTGCCTGAAGAGAGATGACTAAACCATCCCAAATGTGGGACATACTAATGTGGCTTAATGTATTCAGAGTAAATGTCATAAAAATAAGAATTGGGGGTCCTCAAGACCATAAAAGACAACAAAGGCATTGAGGAGATGTAGCCATTTGTAATACATGAATTTTGATGTTTCTGGTCTGAAGGAAATAATTCTAAGACATTTTGAAGACAGTGTAAGAATTCTGGGGACTGGAAATACAGCACAGTGGATAGTGTGCTTGACCAGCAGCACAGGCAAAGTCCTGTGTTTTATTCCCTAGGACCATATAAACCAAGAGTAATCATTGAAAAGTTTCTGCACTCTGATAAGCCTCTCTGCTGACACAGCAATCCAAATCAGACTAAACCAGACCAAATTTGAAAAAACCCTGATTTAATGGGTAAAGCATTCCCGGGTGATTCTCTGGCCCCCCAGAGAGGAGACAGGGATGCAGTTTAAATACCCTTTGGGAGTGGTCTTGAGCATCTCTGAGGAAGGAGCTGTGTTTAGTGGGACTTTCTGTGGGGTAGGGTCTGGGCACAGAGGTGGGGTTTCCACCAGAACATTTCAGACTCTTTGGGTATAGGGGTGCTGATTCAAATCTAGCTACTTCCTGCGTACATGGGGTGATGTGGAAAGGGGAGGAGTCAGGAGGTGGTGGCCCACATACAGCAGGAGGTGTGAGTGGAGGAGCATCTGGTTAATTGTCATCCTGGAGACCTCAGAGCATCTGTTTCTTGAGGAAGCAGGGAAGGCAAGTTGCTAGGGAAAAAATAGATCATTAACATCTGCCCTAGTTGTACTGTAAAGATGAATGTACAGAGCAGAAGAGCAGATAGGCCCTTCATTGGGACATCTTGGGAAACTGGAGGGTGGAGGGTCCCAGCTGCTGGACAGACCATGTATCCTGAATAGGTGCCCACTTGAGCCTGGAGAGGTGGTACCAACATGGATGTCCCAGGAGCTTGATAGCCGAGGGGGTGGTGAGGATCACAGTATAAGGTCCTGTCCATCAGGGCTCGAGAGTCTTAGGAGCTAGCTGTTTGAGGAGTACTCTGTCCCCTGGGGAGAATGGGGCAGGCTTAGGGGCAGTGGGTCTGTTGGTGTGGGGGCAGGAAGATAGCTGTCAGCATGTGAACAGAAAAAGGACCTCAGAAGAGAGAGATAGGGGAGGTACCCAGTCAGTGGGGGAGTTTGAGCTGGGAGGTGATGATTGCAGAAGGACCTTCTGTAAGGGAGCTCAAAAGGGCTCAGGCCTATAGGAGAACATGGGGTAGTCCAGAGGCAGATAAAGGCAATGGGGGGAAGTGAGGGCCAAGATAACCTGAGTTCAGTGGAGAGCTTAGTGAGCTGTTGTTTGATGACTCCATTGGCCTTCTCAACCTTTCCCAAGGTTTGTGGGCAATAAGGAATGTGAAGCTTCCAGGAAATGTTGAGAGCATCCCAGCACAAGCTCCATGACCCTGGAAGTGAAGGCTGGCCCGTTGTCCATTTGTATTTGGTCTGTGGCAAGCCAAGTCTAGGAATGATATGTTCCAGGAGTACTTGGGCCACCAAATCTGCTGTTTCCCTTCCAATCCTTGCCCAGTTGGTATCCTCAAAGCTGGTGCAGAGGCTGATATATCTGGAGGGCCTCCTGTGGACTGGCCTTGGCACACACCTGTGAAATACTCAGAAGAGAGTATAGTGGCCAAAGTGAGTGTGGTCCCCAAACAGCTGAGAATATTACCTGCTGTGGGATGTTCTGTATGTCAAATATGTTGCTCTGATTTGTTAGTAAATAAAACACTGATTGGCCAGTAGCCAGGCAGGAAGGATAGGCGGGACAAGCAGAGAAGAGAATTCTGGGAAGTGGAAGGCTGAGTCAGAGAGACATTGCCAGCCGCCATCATGACAAGCAGCATGTGAAGATGCCGGTAAGCCACGAGTCACGTGGCAAGGTATAGATTAATAGAAATGGATGAATTTAAGCTGTAAGAATAGTTAGCAAGAAGCCTGCCATGGCCATACAGTTTGTAACCAATATAAGTCTCTGTGTTTACTTGGTCAGGTCTGAGTGGCTGTGGGACTGGTGGGTGACAGAGATTTGTCCTGACTGTGGGCCAGGCAGGAAAACTCTAGCTACAAATGGCGTCCAACGTGGTGGCAAGAGTTTCCATCTAAAAACTGAGAAAAAAGATTCTAAAATGGAGCTAAAAACAGCTTCCTAATTGTCTCTCTCAAATGAGCGGCAGCTGCCGATTTGAGCTACTGTGGCGGGAATGAGGCCTCTGCAAGTGGCACATTAAGCTGCATAGCGGATTTAGACTTTGCTAGTACAAAACAAAAAAAGAGGTTTCTGGACTGCACACTACTTGGATAAAAGCATAGACCCACGATAGCTCCCAGAGCTGGCAGTAAACCACCACCATGTTGGGAAGCTTAGGTGGGCAGAGCTAGCAGCCATAGCTGCTGCAGTTTAAAGCAATAGATTCACAATAAGACAGATTCAGATGTAATAGTTTACAATGTGTGTAAAAATGTACGTAGGCTTGAAAGAGACAAAAAAGGTGGTATATACAGTTATAGAAACAAATACATAGTTTTAAAAAATAAAGTCTTTAAAGAGACAGTAAAATTAATATAAAAATAAGCCACATGAAGATGAATATTACACAGAGAATCTGGATTGTGTTGTCTTTGGGATTTTTAACTGCAGAAAAACATTTGATTGTAAAAGTTGTTGAGTTATGCCAAAATGTATATTTTAAAGGTACCTTGACTTCAAAATTTGGATATAAGGATATGTTGCTTTGGAAAGGAGACTCTGCTTTTGTTCCCACAGAAAGCCAGAGGCTATGGATTTGTTCCAGATTAAAATACATCAGGTTTGACCAGCCAAGACCCCCTGAAAGGTGTCCGATGACACCATGGCCCAGATGATCCAACATCCAGAATGGTTTGAAGGCAACTGGCTCAGACGATACACCCTCATGGACTATTCCATAATCCTAAAATTTTCTTTATGTCCCCATAAGATACAGTGCCCCCCTCCAGCAGGAAGTAGTAAGAGAAGCTACGCCCAAATTCCCAAATTATATGTAATTTTACTTTGTTAAGGTTAAAACCTTCCTTTTTGAAAAAAAAAAAAAGGGAAGTGCTGTGGGATGGTCTGTATGTCAAGTGTGTTGCTGATTGGTCAATAAATAAATCACTGATTGGTCAGTGACTAGGCAGGAAGTATAGGCGGGTCAAGGAGGAGAATAAAGCTGGGAAGTGGAAGGCTGAGTGAGAGAGACACTGCCAGCCGCCATGATGAGAAACAGCATGTGAAGATGCCAGAAGCCACGAGCCATGTGGCAAGGTATAGATTTATAGAAATGCATTAATTTAAGCTATAGGAACAGTTAGCAAGAAGCCTGCCACGGCCATATAGTTTGTAACCAATATAAGTCTCTGTGTTTACTTGGTCGGGTCTGAGCGACTGTGGGACTGGCAGGTGAGAGAGATTTGTCCTGACTGTGGGCCAGGCAGGAAAACTCTAGCTACAATTACCTCCAAGCAAAGTGTGGGGCAAGCACGTATGACTAGAAAAAGAATGTGAGAATCACCCTGCAAGAATGGGAAGTGACAGGGTCTTAAATGGGAAGGAAGGGATCCCACCTACCCCTGTGACAGAAATTGGCAAGGAAACTGTAGGACCTGAGTCAGATATCAAAACAGAATAGGTAACTCCCATGTCCAAGAGAAAGTCAATGGACTTACCTGCAGCATCACCCTAGGCTCAAAGAGGGCAATAGGAGTCAACAAATCTAGGCCTTGTCAGTCCTCTACCAGGTTTAGAAGTTCAAAGGCTGGAAGAGTCTTAGTTGCCAATGTTGATGAGGCTGGAGCTCTGTGGTGTGGCATAGAGAATGAGCCTGCATGGGGGCATTCAGATCTCCAGTGTCCAGGCTGTCAGCAGAGAGGGCATGGCCTCCTAGGTGACTTGGAGGAGGCAATGAACCATGAGGTCTCCTCTGGCAGCCATTTAGACCTGGTTGGTAATTCCAGTAGGGCTCTGTAGCTGGCACCACCGTGTCACCCACAGGGACCAAATTGTCCACTAGGTGGGTTTGTTCTTCATACTGCCTAGCTGCTGCCTAAACTCAAGTTCGCTCCTCAGGAGTGAGAGTAAAGGCCTGGATCACATAAAAGTCATGCCAGGTCAGATCGTAGGCCTGGGACAGATAATAGAACTCCTTGATATAAACAGGATTAGCACAGAAGGAACCCCATTGCTTTTCTATTTGTGAAAGATCCTGAAGAGAGAAGGACTCATCACTTGGACAATTCCATCATCTCCAGGTATCTCTCAGAGAGGGCAAAGTAGGGTAGGAGCCTGGTGAGACTGAGTATGAGAAGAAACTGGGGAAAATTCGGGGCATTAGTCCAGTGTGTAGAAGGGGACCAGGATGTAGGTTGAGGCATTGGGGGATAGAGGAGAGCAGTCTAAGGAATACTGGCCACTGAATGGAACATGTCTTTTTACACTTGTTTTTTTTTTTTTCTTTTTTTTTTTGTTTTGTTTTTTCAGACAGGGTTTCTCTGTATAGCGTTGGCTGTCCTGGAGCTTGAGCTTGTTTTGTAGACCAGGCTGGCCTTGAACTCACAGAGCTCCATCTGACTCTGCCTCCTGAGTGCTGGGATTAAAGGCATGTGTCACCATCACCCAGCTGGCTTTTACTTTCTAAATGTTAATTAACATGTTGTTGCATAGTTAGACTGCAGAACAATTTATAAGATACTTTTTTTAATGTACATTATTTAAAATGTTCTCAGTAAAGTTAAAGGATTGCCTTATGCCCCATCCAGTGGGAAATAAAATCATATCACTACAGACAAAAAAAAGGAAAAATAAAAGAAATGTGGATTGATTAGCTAAAATAAAGAAGTATTTATTGTTCAATGTGATAAAATAGTTTATGTAAAAGAATGTTTTTATTTACTCATTTATTTTTGTATCTATATCCTGAAAGGATTCCAAAATTATGTTTACTACATATACATATGCATGCACATACACACACATATACATACACATAAATGACACTTGACAAATATCAACCAGTTTTGAATTAAAGTAGAAGTTGCTACACAGGTCTATGTATGTTTGAATTATTTACATGGTAAAAGGAAAAGGAAACACTAGGAAAAATCCTAGTGGAACTTATACCCTATACATGTGTGATGATTTAAATGAGAAATGTTCCCCACAGTCTTAGGCATTTTAATACTTAGTCTCCAATTGGTGACAGTGTTTGGGGTGTCTTAGGAAGCATGGACTTGCAAGGAAATATGTCAGTGGGATCAAGTACTGAATTTTAAAAGCCTTGTACCATTTCAAGTTTACTTTCTCTGCTTTCTGCTTGTAATTTTAAGATATGAGCTCTTGCTAGGCAATGGTGGCACACACTTTTAACCCTAAACTCAGGAGGCAGAGGCAGATAGATTTCTGAGTTTGAGGCCAGCTGGTCTATAGAGTTCCAGAACAGCTAAGGCTCTACAGAGAAACTCTGTCTCAAATAATAAAACAAAAGATGTGAGCTCTCAGCTTGCTACCTCAGTTCCAATACCTACCATAATGATAATAGACTCTTACCCCTCTTGAACTATAAACCCAAATAAGCCCTTCCTCCTATAAGTTGCCTTGGTCATGGTGTTCTATCTTAGCTAATACAGCATGCAGAGGAAGAGCCTGACTACACCCTCACTACACCAGGCTGAGAAAGATGAATTTACAAGGTGAGCTGTGTTTCTCAAAACAGTTCTAAGCTAGTCCCCCAGTAAAATTTATCTGAGGATCAGAGGAAAGAGCCAGCCACTATAGTAAACATAGAAGTCAGGCAATGTTAGCACACACCTTTAATCCTATCACTCGGGAGGCAGGGATCTGTCTGGATCTCTGTGAGTTCAAAGCCACAGTGGGAACAGAGCCAGTTGTGGTGGTGCACACCTTTAATCCCAGCACCAACCATAGAGGTCTGGAGGTCTGTGCAGACAGACAGGAAGTGACAGAGCTAGGCAGGAAGAGGAAGTGATGTAGCTGGGCTGAGAGAGCAAATGAATGAGCAGAACAGAAAGGCATATAGGCGTGGGTATACAGGAAGTAGGTCTCTTTGGAGACTGAAGTGTCAGTGAGGTGAGGTTAGCTTGTAGCTTCTCCATTCCTCTGATCTCTCAGGTTTCAACCCCAATATCTGGCTCTGGGTTGTTGGTTTTTTTTCCGTCTACACTACAGTCCTAATGCCAGTATCTCAGATTGTAACCATAACTCTAAAGGTAGGTTTGGTTGGGTTGGATTTTAGACATTTATTCATATTGCTCAGACTGGCCTCCAATCCCTGGGCCCAACCAATCCTCCTGCCTCAACTTTCTGAGTAGCTAAGATATATGTGCCACAGCACAAAGTTTGAAAAGGTAACTAGCCAGGCATGGTGGCACATGCCTGTAATCCCAGCATTTGGGAAGGGAAAGCAAGATGATCAGGAGTTCAAGAGCAACTGCAGCTACATAGTGTGTTCAAGGCCAGCCTGGATTGCATGAAATCCTGTCTCAAAATAAAGTGGTAACTAAAAAAGCAAAGTCACAAAACCTATGTGACTGGCATCCTTAGAAGAGGAGATTAGACATAGGCAGGCATCCAGAGAGGAGGGCCTGGAGCAGACCTCCCTCACAGACTTCAGGAAGAACCAGCCCTGCTGACTTCTGGATCTGCAGCTTCTATCCCCACAACTGAGAAATTTGATTTCTATTGTTGAAGTCACCCAGTGTGTGGTATGTTCTTAAGGCAGCCCTGGTGCTTTTATTTAGGTTACTATAACAAACGCCTAGGGGGGTTGATTTATAAACAACAGAAATGTATTGCTCAGAACTCTATGGGTTGGGAAGGCATCTGCAGAATCAGGACTAGGGGAGGGCTGCTCTCTGCCTCACAGACAGTGTCTCCTTGCCTAATTTACACATGACAAGAGTGAGCAGATACCTTCTTAGGTAAATGGGGGTGGTCTCATGATTTGAAAAGGCCATACCCTTTAATTCATTTGGTGTATTTTACATTGTAATGGCAATACATTTTAATAACATTTGGTGTCAAGTTCCATTCTATGAATTCGAGGGGATACAGACATTCAGACCACAGTACCTAACAGAACAATATAGAATTCCTAATTTGCCAGCAAAGCACTGGGGTATTTCCTCATCACTCACTCTATTTCCCCATGAAACAATAGCCTGATAACTGCAGAGTCCACACAAAGCAGAACCCAGACAGCTGGCACTTGAAGCTCTGACTATCAGGAAGCAATGTCCAGGATCCCCAAGTATCACCCATCTGAACATCTTGAATTCAACTGTGACACTTGTTGGCCTTCACTTTCCTCTGTGCTTGCTGGGATTTTTGTCTCAAAAGTTAATAAGAGATGCACATAGTGGTGCATGCCTTTAATCCCAGCACTCAGGAGGTGGAGGTAGGCAGATCTCTGTAAATTCCAGGCCAGCCAGGGCTACCCAGTAAGCCACTGTTTCAAACAAACAAAAAAGGTTAATAAGATATGGGAGATAGAATTGTTAGGTTTCAAAGAAACTCAGGACAAGTGGCTAATTAAGCTGCCTCTTTAACATATCAAAGCCAATACTGACTAGCAGTCTGCTGCAGTCATCCTGGCTAGCACACCCTGCACCTACCCTCAACCTCCAGCCCTGAGCCTCACTTTCCTTCCCCCTGGTTCTCTTCATTGTATAACTCAGCCATCTTGGCTACACATCCCCTCGGTGCTCTTGGTCTCTTGGTTCCTGTGCAGTCTTTTCCTCTTTTCTCCCTCTTCTCTTCCTCTCCTTTTCTCTTACTTTCTCTCCTCTCATGGCTCAGTTCAGTCTGTTTAACTGGTTCCTTCTGGACCCTTCCAGATGCCTCTGCCAGTGCTGTTCCTTATATCTACAATAAACCATCTCCTCAAACAAATCTAGGAGCATCATGTCCCCATTTTTCATGCAAAGACATGCTGGAGAGAAATAATATAGCTTACGGGGGCTGGAGAGTTGGCTCATCAGTTAAGAGCATTTGTTGCTCTTGCAGAAGACCTAGGTTCAGTTCCCAGCCCCAACATGGTGGTAACAACCATCTGTAACTCCAATTCTAGCAGACCTTATGCTCTATTCTGACCTCTGCAGGCACTAGGCACATATGTGGTACACATACTTACATGAAGACAAAGAACTCATACACACAAAAAAAAGTAAAATAAATTTTAAAAAAGAATCTAGCTTATAAAAACCCCATAACTAATATTTATATTAATAATGACTATTTACTAATATTTTAAAATATAATTGCTATTAAGGTAGAATGCAGTCATATTCCATTATTGAATTGTTCAGATTTGATAAATGCACCCCTCCTCTCTTCACATAGCCTCTCTCGGGAAGGAAATTCCTCATAATCTAGCCATCATTGGCTTAGTGCCCAGCATCCAAAGAGCCTCTGTAATCTGCTGTGCACAGTCTTGACCTTTCATATGAAAAGAGGGGTACTGCCTCTGCTCTAACAAGCTTTTCAAGTTCATCTCATTTAGTATGATCCCAGCACTGCCATCTCAATTGTTTATGATACATTACCTCATAGCAGCCAAACCACGTACTGTAAACATGTCCTTTCACGGCCAGTCAGTGGTGGCACACATCTTTGAGGCGGGTGGATCTCAGTGAGTTAAAGACCAACCTGGTCTACAGAGTGAGTTCCAGGACAGCCAGGACTACACAGAGAAACCTTGTCTCGAAAAACCAAAAAAAAAAAAAGAACTGTCCTTTCACATATGATAAAACTGGGGCTCAGAGAAATTACATAACTAGCCCAAAGCCACAGGCAGTTGAAGGGCAGAGTTTTGAATCAGAGCTCAGTACTTCCCATCCTCACCGCTAGCCCATGGAAGTGTTAGTTATTTGGCGGCACTCTTACCCTGCGAGGAAAAGTCACGAAACATGACAGAATCCACTAACAAGAGTTTTATTAAGATAAGAGAGAGAGACAGATGTTCTCAGGCCTGTTGGAAAGACACATGCATAAAAGAGAGAAGCCGGAAATATGGCGCAGGCTTATAAAGGCTGGGTCGCGCATGCGTACACAGGTTCATGTGGCTACTCCACACATGTGCGTAGATCACATGATTGCGCTGAGTGCTTTACGAAACCACGCAAAGCCACGGGGTCCTGGTCACGCGAGACATTTTGACCTGGAACTGGCTATTTTTGACCCGGAACTGGCTAGGCGGAAGTGTCTAGGTCCGCTGGGCTTGCGCAACCATGCCCAACTGTTGGGGCGTATTGTGAATCTATCAGGAAGTCCTTATCTGTAATGGGTATTTGTTTCATTTATGACCTAGGGCGTGGCCTCTTGGCTAGCTTAAGACCTGTGGAGCATGTATGTGGGTCCCTTCTGTTAGGGGTTGATTATAAATTATATTAGGGCTGGGGATGGAACAATAAAATATAGGCTCAGAATTCTCTTTTGGAAAAAAAAAAGGGGGGAAATAGATAGGATAGGATAATAAGGTAGATTTTTTTTGTTTTGTTTTGTTTTTCAAGACAGGGTTTCTCTGTGTAGCTTTGTGCCTTTCCTGGAACTCACTTGGTAGCCCAGGCTGGCCTCGAACTCACAGAGATCCGCCTGGCTCTGCCTCCCAAGTGCTGGGATTAAAGGCATGTGCCACCACCGCCCGGCTCTACTTGTAAACTAAATCAGTAACTATCCACTTTAGACAATTTGCATTGGTATGGGTTCTTGTATATTAACACAAGTGTAAAATTATCTTTCTGTTCCTGTTTAATATAATTTGTATATTGATACAAATACAAAACTATATTTGCCATACGGTACATATGTTCCTACTCCTGTTTAAAGTATTTTATATATTGATACAAATGTAAAATTATATTTGTCATACTGCATATATGTTCTGATGGTTTTTAGCGGCACTCTTACCCTGCGAGGAAAAGTCACAAAACACAAAAGAATCCACTAACAAGAGTTTTATTAAGACAAGGAGAAAGGGACAGATGTGATCAGGCCTGCTGAAGGGACACACGTGGGAGAAGGGGGTTCGGGAGACATGGGGCCTGCCTTTTTAAGGGCCACCCTGCACATACACACTCAGGCCCATGTGGCTACTCCACACATGCACATAGATCACAAGGTCACGCAGCATGCAATTACGTGACTGCTCATGGGTTACGTAGGACATATGACCCAGAAATGACTAAGTGTCCCACCAGGACATGTGCGACCATGGGGTTGTAGCTGAAATTCTTATCATCCCAGACTCTTTGTTTTTATAAAAGATGGCAGATGTGTAGCTGGAGTTTCCTCCAGTCCCATGTGGGACCGCAGCTGTTCAGACTCAAGTAAACAAAGAGACTTATATTGCTTGTAAACTGTTTGGCCGTGGCAGTCTCCTTGCTATCCAGTTTTTTTGTTTGTTTTTTTTTTTCTGAGACAGGGTTTCTCTGTGTAGCTTTGCGCCTTTTCCTGGAACTCACTTGGTAGCCCAGGCTGGCCTCGAACTCACAGAGATCCGCCTGGCTCTGCCTCCTGAGTGCTGGGGCTATCCAGTTCTTATATCTTAAATTAACCCATTTCTATTAATCTATAAGTTGCCACGTGGCTTGTGGCTTACCGGCACTTTACATCTTACTTCTCATGGCGGCGGCGGCTGGCAACATCTCCTGACTCAGCCTTCCACTTCCCAGAATTCTCCTCTCTGCTTATTCCACCTACACTATACTTCCTGCCTGGCTACTGGCCAGTCAGCATTTTATTTACCAGTCATTCAGAGCAGCACATTCACAGCAAACAAAAAGACATCCCCAGCACAGATGAGTGGGTATGGGTCATTGTTTCTCCCAAAAACTGCTTCCAGCTGACTTGATGGGTGTCGGTTGGTCTTGGAGGGTTAGGGAAGGGGGCTTCTGAGGTAGACAGGTGTCCTGGGATGGTAGGCTGTTGTCTGCTGCCCTGGAGTTGCCCATCCTTTCTGGCTTGGAACTCTTTGGCTGACAGGATACTGGTGAGACAGAAAAAGCTTAGGAAAAATAATCATTATTATTTTTATTTTCTTTGGAGTGTTCCCAGACCAGGGAATTTTGAGTTTGGCACTTATCTGAAGTAGATCTGACCTGTCCAGATGGATTTAAGCTGGTTTCTGGAGCTTGGGAAAAATTTTGAACATATTAAGAAGCAGCCATGAGAAAATTAGTGACAATTGTAGTGTTTGGTACTCTGTTTAATTTTTACCTGAGATAAGCTTTATTAGAGGTAGATTATTTAAGGCACCTGTTTCCTTTATTAGTTTAGCATTCAGGAGACACAGGTGATCAATTGCTGAGAGCGTTCAACAGTGATAGACTGTTATATTAAAGTCTGTTTTTGCAGAGCCCAGGCACTTTTGGGTCTGGGGGTATAAATACCTTTGGATTATTTTACTGTTTTTTTTTCCTTACCGCCTGGATATGTCTGATGGTCCTTTTGCCTCCGGCTCTCTGGTGGCCCTATAACAATTAGCTGAGTGGTTAATTAGGAAAGGAAGAGCTTATGGAGTGATACCTCATTCCTCTGGAATTGATGACAAGGCAGTGGATCCTGGTGTCCTCTGTGTCACTGTGTATGAAGAGAGATTTTTCTGTGGAGGTGAGATAAAAGGTTTTAGATGAGACAGGTGGACCCAGTGAGGAAAACCCTTGAGTTTAGCAGCTGTAGGAGTCATAAGAATTACCTTGAAGGGTCCCTGACATTTAGGGGGGAGGGGTAAAGGGCACTGGCCTGGAGGGGAAAGAAGAACCTGATCCCCAATGTGGATTGGGGGTGGGCAAGGACTGTCACATGGCTGAGGTAAGGAGTAGTCTGTGTAGCTCCATAGGATAGAACTTAGGTGACATAGCAGGGGAGTTAACAGGCTATCTGGAACAGTTGGAGGGTTGGATAGAAGACCTGGTGTTAGAACTGGCCTTCCATACATTAGTTCAAATGGAGAGATTGAAAGAGGCTTTTTAGGAAGAGTCCTGAGCCTGAAAAGAGCTAAAGATAATAATCTTACCCAGTTGAGGTGAAGTTCCTGTGACATCTTAAGTGAGAACAGATTTTAAAGACTGGTTGGTGCACTCCACCTTTCCTGAGGACTGAGAATGGTATGGGATATGAAAATGCCAAGGAATGTTAAGAGCCTTAGCTAGTGTCTGAGAAATCTGAGAGGTGAACTCCGGGCCATTGTCAGACTGAAGGGAGGCAGGAATCCCAAACCGAGGAATAATTTCTCGGAGAAGGAGATCTGCAACTGTCTGAGCCCGCTTATTAGAAACAGAGTATGCCTCCACCCAATTTGAAAATGAGTCCACCATCACGAGGAGATATTTAATTTTCTTGATAGTGGGCATATGGGTAAAACTGAGCTACCAGTCAGTCCCTGGAAGGGAACGTCTAGCCTGGTGGGTGGGAAAAGGCTGACTTCTGTACTTGGTATTGGAGTCTGCTTTTTGGCAAATCTCACAAGAGGCAGCAATAGTTCTTAAGAACTGTAAGTCCTCAGAGGTGGGCTGCAGGTGGGCCTTTACGAATTGAGACAGAGCAAGACTATTAGGGTGAAAGAGCTGGTGTAGATAGGACAGAATTTGTCTAGTGTCAGGGGTTCCCTGAGAGGGTGTGAGCTGTACTGTATGGATTCCCTGCAGTGGGTGGGGTGAGATTTGGTCCTGGAGCATCCTGACTGCCTGGTCAGCCCAGTTATTTCCCTTAGAGATGATGGAGCTATCGGTCTGATGAGACCGGCAGTGGACAATTCCTATAGCCTTGGGGAGGTGGGAAGCCTTTAGCATGACCATTATTTGGCCTGAATTAGATATGGATCCCCCTTTTGCTGTGAGGAGGCCACGCTCCCTCCAAATAGCAGCATGGGACAGGAGGATATGAAAAGCATATTTGGAGTCTGTGTAAACATTTAGAGATTGTCCCTGTGCCAATTGGAAGACACGGGTGAGAGCTAGCAGCTCAGCCTGTTGGTTAGTGGTGTATGTGGATAATGCCTGTGCCTCTATTATCTCAGTATCTGACACTATGGCATTACTAAAAAGGAGCTGCCATCTGTGTACCAGGTATAAGTAGCCTGAGGCAATGTGCCCTCCTGTATGTGTGAAGGGTGAGGTAACAGTTCCTCCAAGGTTTCAGTGCAGGAATGAGAAGGAGAATACTTAGTGTCCCTAAGGCCATAGATGGATCTGTAACCAGGCACAGGCCACCAAGCATCTCATCAGACATAAGGTGGGGGGCTAAGGCATGTGAAGGCAAGGACTCCCCTGGAGTCTGACAGCACTTACTGCTTCATCAAGCCAGAAAAAAAAAAATGTGTCGGCCTTACACAGCCTGAAGACACACCCAAAGACGGGGATCCAATTGTGAGAATTATATCTCAAACTGCAGACGTGGGAGATGGCTAGAAATTTTAGCCTGCGATCGGGACCTACCGTAGCCAGTGAAGACCATGGTCGGGGATAACCCCATCTCAGGAACACCAGTGGGGCGCCAGACAATTGATGATCATCCCCACAGATCCAGGAGACAGTTTTCGATGGCTGAAAAGTGGGAGACTCACCTATCAAAGTAGCCAGTGTTGTGTGTAGGATCCCACGGCCAGGCAAATGGACAGTGGGCTGTTGTGGACGGAGCAGACTCCCCCGGTACAGGTTCCCAGGTACAAAGTGCCGAGAGTGCCCGTTGTGCACGGCACCAATGAAGGTTTTTAGCGGCACTCTTACCCTTTGAGGAAAAGTCACACACAACAGAGTCTACTAATAAGAGTGGACTAATATCTGATTAAGATATTTTGTATATTGTCACAATTTCAAGGTCATTGTATTTATACTGTACATCTGTTTACAGATTGTTTACTCTTATAATGTTAAGCCTTAGTCTAAGTTATTTAGGTTGATAAGATTTACAGGTTAATAGTCACCCATGCTTGTCATATTTATAGTCATTTTAATTGGGAATAATACAGAAATATATGTCAGATGGATAGAAAATACTTCATAGACCTAGAGAATTCGGCATTTAAATGTTCTAATGACTTAGAATTCTGTTGACGTGAGACACAATTGCTCCTGGCAGCACCAATCTACTCCTGAGAGGATGTTGGACATTGAAGACACTCCATATGGAGTTTATCTTCCTCTTGGCAAAAAAAAAAAAATGGCCTGTTGGGCAAAGAACTGCCCTTGCCTCAACTGCTGACAATAAGCACATTTTCCAATCTGGACAAGCAGGACACAAGGAAAAGCAACTGCTGAACCTTGCCAAGACAGGGTAAGACAGTCTCTCAAAATTCCTGCTTCTGAAGATGAGGTCTGTCAGATATTCTAGGTCTATAGCCAAAAAATGGATGCCCCAATGGTACTGAGAAACATTAGGTGACTGTCCAGATTGACAAGTGTCTCTGTCATTTCTTGCCATTTTTCAGAAGTTGCTCATTTGCACTTCCTGTTTACTCAGGTAATATTTTCCTTCTCAGGTCTTATGATGGGCTTGAAGACTAGATAGTTATAGCTACAATCTTCTCATATCTTAGCTAAGAACATATCAGATACTAGATTTAGGATATGACAGCTATTGGAGTAATCTCTGTAATTTGCCATTTAACTATAGTCTGGACACTTAACATGTGTTTCTTGCTTGATGTTGTTATTGTTGGTTGTATTTCCATTTTTGTTTATGTTATTAGCTTTTCCTTCTCTTAGACAATATTTGATAATCATTCTTTTTTTTTAAGATTTATTTATTTATTATGTATACAGAAGAGGGTGCCGGATCTCATTACAGATGGTTGTGAGCCACCATGTGGGTGCTGGGAATTGAACTCAGGACCTCTGGAAGAGCAGTCAGTGCTCTTAACCGCTGAGCCATCTCTCCAGCCCCCTTGATAATCATTCTTATTGTATGTAGTTTTATATTAGGTTTAGAACTTTCTTATTTAGACAAAAAGGGGAAATTGTAGTGGTATTCGTTCCATCTATGGCCTTGGGGTACCAGCCCCGAGGGTGTGGCCTCTTGGCTAGCTTAAGACCTGGGGAGCACGTACAAGGGTCCCTTCTCTCCCGTGCTCTTGGATGGTGGAGATCAAATCTGGTGGCATGAAGCAGTGTAGAACCGGTTCTCAGTCTTCCAGGACTGAGACTCTGCAACTGAATCTGCCATATCCTGTATTAGTGAGTTTTCCCCCCAATATAATCCTTTAATAAACAGTTTTTTATCAGTTATCTGCATGTTGTCTGCATTACTTATCTTCAGAAGAAAATGCAGTCCAGGGTTCTGTGGTGTCTGGGGGTTTTCAGAGCTCCTCTTTAACTCTTCTGGGTAAGACACTGAACTTACTAAGAGCAAGCAGTCCAGTTACTAAACACAGCTGTTTCGGGAGCTTCTGGCAGTCCAAAACCCCTTGGAGTGCACGTCAGGGCCGAGTACATGACTGACTCACCTCAAAGGTTAAATCTTTACTATCAACTTGACTGGATGGAAGATCACGCCCTCTGTATTTGTGAATGTTTCTATAGAGGTCTAAATGAGGAGGGAAACATACCCTGAATATAGGCGACACCACCCCTTGGGGTGGGGTCACAGTTGAATGAAAGGGAGAAAGGGATTGAAAGTGACCTGAGAACCCGTTTCCTGACTACAGACTTGTGACAGCTACCTCTCCTGACATCACAGAATTTATTCTTGTTGTCACAGTTTTCTCACGTGATCTGGACACACAAACTAGAAGCCAAAGTAAACCCTTCCTTGAGCTGCCTATGTCAAGTAACTGATAGACCTTTCAAACATTTCAGACCTTTCAAAGGCAGAGGCCGAAGTCTGTTGGCTCTCAGAAGAACACCCCAGGCATCGAAGGTTTGGCTGCAGAAATTTGGCAGCCCGCCTTGCTTGATCTCCAGCTCAGACCACATATATTCAGGGAGGCCCATCTCTTTCACCCTAGCCCTGCTCTCTGATTTTTCTGATGACATTCTTTTTTTTTTTTAATCTTTCCTGGGGTTCTTAACCCCTATGTGATCTAAAGGCCCTATAATCCTAAAAACCAGTCCTGTTAGCCAGATGCCCAGCACAATAGCACTGGGAAAGCAAAGTCATGGGACTGAAACCAGAAGAAAACCTATTCATGTGAGAAGCAGCTGGCAGCTGGAAACAGACTGAGAAAAGGAAGGCAGACCAGGCCCTACCTCCTACAGATGGCTGGACTGGAGATTTCAAAGCCAGTCTCAGCCTACCTAAGACCTCCTGTCCTCTCTCCTAATAAAGGAGACAGTACTTATCACAGCTCCCACCCTTCACTGAGGGGCTCTATGGGGGTGATCCACGAAAAGGAGCTTTGAGATGGAAAGCCATCAGGAGGGGAGGGGAAGAATCCAGGCCCACAGTCAAGAACACACATTGTGTAATTCCACTTTCCAATTAAATACCAGAGAAACACCCTTACAGGTTTATTGCTGTGCGTCGCAGCACAGGTGTGTGGGTTCATGCAGCTCTGTGGAATGAAGACTCAGAGGCATCTTATGAATGAATCTAGCCTTTCATGACTGCAGGAGGGTCCAGCCTCGAAGGACTGAAGCCCCTTCCCTTCACCTAGGGCATTTTTATTTCTCTCCATTACAGTTTAGCCAGTTAATTTCCATATGCTCAAAACACCCTGAAAGGAGCTCCCAACAATACAATGCCAAGGGCAAACTCCTCGATTTGTCAGGTACCATGGTTTTCCAGGTTTCCTGAACCAAGTTTTGCATAGGCCTTTGTATCCTTGGGGACAAGATTCACATAGAGGGAAATAAGGGAAACAAAAGGTGTCTTCCCAGCAAAAGATGGATTGGGGCTAGGTGCTACTCTCTGGAGCCAGGCCAGGTGCAGCTCAGCAGGAATGTAGCCACAAGGGTTATATGTTTTTATTAAATGATTTTATTTATTTTTAGATGGCACAAGGAGGGCATATTTTTTCATTGAAAAAAATAGAAATCACATATCACAAAATTCTAATATATATACAGAATGTATACTATAATATAATAGGTACATAATTCTAATACATATACAGAATATATGCTATAATATAATAGGTACATAATCACTTTCAGCACTTCATATGCATGGTTTTCATGCACAAAAGACCAGACAAAACACATTTCCAACAATAGAGCATATACATCTTTTTCCTCATCAACAAACTTACTATTTAATCCTTCTCAATGGTTAAGGAATGCTTTATCATATGCACAAGAAATAACAGTTTAAATCAATTCCCTGTCTCTATGCATTTAGATTTAGATTGCTTGTAAGAAAACTTAAATTCCTTTTGGAGTATCAAGCAGAGGCTAAGGAGGTGATTTCCCGTCCTGTTTAACAGTCCTCAACCCCATTATCCTACCCACCAGCCCACCGACTCAGTCCACTTTGGCTACTGTGCATTTCTGCATAAGTTTGCCTAGACTTTAACCTGGCAGAATTTCAGGTGCTTCATTGTCTGTGCTCCATCCATAAATGTATTACAGGGTGTGTCTTACCTTACTTGTTCTTCCTCTTATCTCTTAAAGAAAACAGACCATAGCTAAGGCAAAACAGGTGGCTTCATCTGAAGTGTATTTGCAGAATGTAGTATTGTATAGTGGAACTCAGTTTCCCTATTACATTGTGAACATGCACACACATCTATTGGAATTTCCCGTCTGCTTAGACTGAGGATCCTGCAGCTGGCTATCAGGGAGCTGAAACCCCTACAGAGAGGAAGAAACACTAAGACATGAACATACATACACAAGTACACATACACTAGTGCAAGCCTGCTCTAGAGCCTTTACACTGGGAGACAAAAGGTGTCCATAAAGAGACAAAGTCATAGCTCACACTTTTCAGAGGAAGAACAGTTGGAACCTGCAGGCTGAACACAGTGAGTCTAACTCTACCCCATTTGATACTGCATGCCAATGTCAAAGGGGTTTGAGAGCACAGGACTGATGCTCCTCCTCAGATTGGGTTTTGTTGTTATTTTCTTTGGTTGTTTCAGATGGGCTTTTGTGTAGCTCAGGCTGGCTCAAACTCACTACGTAGTGGGGGAGGAAAAGCTGATGAACTCCTGATGTTCCTGCCTCACTTTCTGATGTTAGTGTTGGGATTACAGGTGTGTGCCACCATGCCCAGAGTATACAGCAATGGGAGTTAAATTACCAGCTGAGCTACATGCCCAGTCCAAGTACAACTTCTTTTTGTGTGTGTTTGCAGGTGCAAAAGAAATAGACAAATTTCTAGATTCATCCAAACCACCAAAATTAAACCAAGAAGAGATCAACAATATAAACAGACCCCAAACAAATTAGATTTAAACCATAATTAAAAGCCTCCTGGCAAAAAAGAAAAAAAAAGTGTCCAGATGCACTCACAGAAGAATTCTACCAGACTTTCAGTGATCTACAGCCAATGTTTCTTAATTTTTTTAAAAATAGAAAACAGAAAGAGCACTCCCAAACTCCTTCTATAAAGTCAGTATCATTCCAATACCCAAAATAGGCAAGGGAAAAAAAAAAACAGAGCCGGGCGGTGGTGGCGCACGCCTTTAATCCCAGCACTCGGGAGGCAGAGCCAGGCAGATCTCTGTGAGTTCGAGGCCAGCCTGGGCTACCAAGTGAGTTCCAGGAAAAGGCGCAAAGCTACACAGAGAAACCCTGTCTCGAAAAACCAAAAAAAAAAAAAAAAAAAAAGAAAAAAACAGAAAAGAAAACTACAGGTCCATATCCCTGATAAACATAGACTCAAAAATTCTTGATAAAACATTTGCCAACCAAACACAGACATACATCAAAAAGATTATCCACCATGACCAAGTTAGCTTAGTACAGGAATACAAGAATAGTTCATTATAAATCAATAAATGTAACAAACCAAATAAAGGGATTTAAAGGCAAAATTACATGGTCATCTCAATAGATGCTGAAAAGGCCTTTCAACATGTCTAGCAACACCTAACATCTTCATGATAAAAGTCTTAGAGTAGGACTGATGGAACACACACCTCAATATAATAAAAGATACATATGAGAAACCCATAGCCAACATCCTAGAGGGAAAACTTGAAACAATCCCACTGAAATCAAGAATGAGACTGTGCTTTCCATATCTGCTTTTCTTTTTTTTTTTTTTGGTTTTTCGAGACAGGGTTTCTCTGTGTAGCTTTGCGCCTTTCCTGGAACTCACTTGGTAGTCCAGGCTGGCCTCGAACTCACAGAGATCCACCTGGCTCTGCCTCCCGAGTGCTGGGATTAAAGGCGTGCGCCACCACCGCCCGGCCCATATCTGCTTTTCAATAATGTGTTTCAAGTACTAGCTGAAGCAATCAAAGCAAGAGAAGGGAATAGAAAGGATACAGATAGGAAAAGAAAAAATCAAACTATCTCTACTTGCAGATGATAGGATATTATATATAAGAGATCCCAAAAATTGAACCAGAAATCTTTGGGAAATGATCAACAATTTCAGCAAAGTGGCAGGATACAGAGTCAGCTTAAAAAAATCAATAGCTTTTTTTTTAATGCACCAATAAGAAACAGAGAAGAGATCACAATATTCTCAAATAGCCTCAAAGAAATTGAAATATCTAGGAATAAACCTAGTCAAGAAAGTGAAGGACCTCTACAATGAAACTTTTAAATCTCTGAAGAAAGATCCAGAAAGACATCCCATATTTGTGAATTGTGAAAATGACCATTCTACCAAATGCCATTTACAAATTCAATGCAATCCCAGTCAAACTCCCCATCTCATTCTTCACAGAAAAGGGGGAAAAAAAAAGTAAAATTCATATGAAATCATAAAAGACTCCAGATAAACAAAACAGTTCTGTGCAAAAAGAATAATACTGGAGAGAGAACTGTCTTCATTAGGATTTCTATTCTATTGCTGTGAGGAAACACCATGACCAATAAGCAAGCTGGGGAGGAAAGTGTTTATTTGGCTTACACTTCCATATTGCTGTTCATCATCAAAGGAAATCAAACAGGGCAGGAACCTGGAGACAGGACCTGATGCAGAAGCCATGAGGGGTGTCACTCATTGGCTTGCTTCCATGGTTTGTTCAGCCTGCTTTCTTATAGATCCCAGGACAGGGATGGCACCACCCACCATGGGCTGGTTCTTCTCCCATCAATCACTGATGAAGAAAATGCCTGACAGCTGGACCTGATGGAGGAATTTCCTCAATTGATGTTCCGTCCTTTCAGGTAACTCTAGCTTGTGTCAAGTTGACACAAGACTAGCCAGCACAACTGACCCCTTGTCAACTTGACACACAAACACACCACTATTAAGCCACAACCCTTCATTTCTTGTTTTTTTTTTTTGTTTTTTTTTTGTTTTTTGTTTTTTTTTTTTTGGTTTTTCAAGACAGGGTTTCTCTGTGTAGCTTTGCGCCTTTCCTGGAACTCGCTTTGGAGACCAGGCTGGCCTCGAACTCACAGAGATCCGCCTGGCTCTGCCTCCCGAGTGCTGGGATTAAAGGCGTGCGCCACCACCGCCCGGCTAACCCTTCATTTCTTATTCGTCTCCAAGATCTCACATTAAAATCATAAATAACTTTGAAAGTCCCACAGTCTTTACAAATTCAAATACATTAAAATTTTAGTCCCTTTAAAATAGCAAATCTTGTAAAATCCAAAGGCTTAAAATTCAAAGTCTCTCTCTCAACTGTGAACTGTAGTAAAATCAAAAATAAATACTTTCTTACTTTAAGAGGGAAGAAGTAGGGCAGAGTCACAACCAAATCAAAACAAAACCAAACTCCAAAAGTATAAATAACTCAGTGTCCAATATCTGGATCCACTCACAGTCCTCTGGGCTCCTCCAGGAGGCTTGGGTCACTTTTCCAGCTCTGTCTTCTGCAGCACACATAGCTTGTCTTCTAAACTACAGCTGGCTCTACTCCAAGGCTACTGCTGTTCTTGGTGATCATCCCTTGGTGCTGGTATCTCCAAAATACTGGAGTCTTCTGCTGCAACCTCTCATAGGTTCTCTTCGTGGTGCCAAACTTCAACTTCTCTGTATTACCCCTTCAGTCCTGGGTTTCCAACTGCCACTGAAGCTGCACCTTCACCAAGAGGCCTCTTCTGGCCTCTCAGTGCTTCTTAGAACTCCTAACAGTGTATTTATCTAAAATATCTATCAAGCATCCAAGGCTAAATGAAACAACACCTGTCTCCTAGGTCAGGTGGATAGCTTTATTTCTTGTGCTATTTAGGGTGAGACCCTCCTTTCTTATACAACTTTACTAATAGACCCCTAACTTCTCACCTAACCACTTCTAGGAATGTAGACTGAACACATAGATCCCCTTTTTGATATACTAACTGGTCATTAGCAGTCAGTTGACCTCCTCTTTTACCACTCCCATTTTGGGTGTAAAAGAAAGCCTGACAGTCACTGCCTGGGGAAAATTCTTACCTACCTATATGACCCCATAAGAATTCAAGCCTGGTGACCTTGCTCTGGCAGAGGATCATTATTGCCTGGGTTTATAACTGAACACCTCAGAGACTTGAGCGACTGGAGAGGAAGAGAAGAGTGGAAAACTTGAGGACAGAGAACTGAGAGGGATAAGGAGGATTTTGACCAGAGAGAACATGTGGACACGATGGAAGCTGAAGAAGAGCCAGATGGGGAAGTACTAGCTGGGTAAGAATGAGATGAGGCAGATTTAAAGTAGAACTTAGAGGGAACAGTAGATAAGGCAGAGAGAAATCAGGTAAGAAAGGAGCTAGGCACAAGAACAGAACTGAAGCTGTGTAAATAGGATTTTATCTCAGAGGAATAAAGTAGATGGGCAAAGAGCTTGGTGTACTTAGATTTGTGAGACCAAAATGAGACATCTTAGAAATAAGACCAAAATGCTTTCACCCTAAAACTTAGGCCTGAAATTTCTGCTTTTAGGTACAGGCCATGAGTTACTAAAACCAGTCAGTTCAGATTCCAGAAACCAGGAAGTGTAAAAGTACAGAGTCACAAGGTAGTCATGAGGTAATGGCTGCCAGACTATGAAATGTCCTCTCCCTGGTTTCCAGGGTAACTGACCACAGAAATGTCTCCACCTGAGGGCAGCCAATGAGAAATGGTGGTGGGTAACCACTCCCTTAGAAGTAAGATTAAACCATGATTTCTAGAAAGCCCCTAGAAGCGAGCCAATCAGAATTGTACCCGTACTAGCACCCCTAAATGATGTAACCTTGTGATTTTTCCCTTTAAAAACTGAGCTTGCAGACAGTCGGGCACCTCCTCCAGCCTCCACTGAGTTGGATGTATTGGACGAAGTCCCTGCCTAGGCTTGTATTGCTTTTGGATATCCAGAATTAAACCTTGCTTTTGCATTCCGGCATGTTCGTCTTTGGTGGTCTCTCTGGGGGTTGCGATGGGCACAACAGATTCATTTCCCAAAAATAATTCTCACCATTCGTAGTTCTCTCTTCTGAGCCCCTGGAAAGTATCATATTAAGGCTGGTCCTTTTAATATTATACAAGAAAACACAACTGGTCAAAATGCACCATTGTGTGCTCAGTCCCAACCCATACACCTACAACACAACTCCTACATGTAAGGCTCAGAGAACATCTTGGAAGAGGGGACAGAAAGACTATCTATAAGAGTTAGAGCAACAGGAAGTTTACTGTGAGATTGTGTCTCCTAGAAATGTCAGAGAAGCTACACTCATGTAGTCTCAACATGGCTGCCTAAATAAGACCTGAACAAGGAGAACACCAACAGACAATTTCAGTGTCTTTCAGGGCCAGCTCCAGTACCCCTTCCAGGGTTCACATTGGACACTACAGCAAAGCAAAAGGAACTTAAAGTATCTGAGGATAATGAATTAGCTCACATGTGTGCTCTTTATTGTTCCATGTTCTTATTTCTTCTTCATCTTTACTCTCTTCTCTTCACCTTTATTCTTCTACCCATTACAAATTCCCAAATGTGTGTGTGTGTGTGTGTGTGTGTGTGTGTGTGTGTGTGTGTGTATCCATTCATTAACAACTTGTTAGTAATAAAAAGAAAAACTACAAAGCAAACTCTCAGGGACTAGTATTCTTTGCAGATACGATAAGAGTCTCATGTGGCAAAAGCTTGGTCAGCTTAATTAGTGACTGACAACAGCTGCAGGTTATAAAAGTTTTGGCTATCTCTTAAAGGGATAGTTACAAGGGTTACAAGGGGAAGGAACTGAACCAATGAGAGGTCTAAGAAAGAGGCAAAGAATATGTGTACTATATCACATTTTTAAGTGTGATTAATAATATCAGGACATGGTTAGTCTGCTAATAGCCTTTTCCTAATAATCACCTGAATCTCATGACCTAAACAGTCTATTGAGTCTAAAATCTTGCATTAAAACTGGTATAGAAGTATATGCAAAGTGTTCATTGCTTTTTGAATCAGAGTGGAAGGTGCCAGTGGAGGAAGCTTAGGGCAACATAGGTGCTGTAGGTCTCTTGAATGCCTAAGATATAACAGGGCCAGATCACTCTAGTCTACCATAAATCTTTTGAAGGACTTTGATGCATCTGTAATTTTGCTCATGAATAAAAGCTGTGAAAGTTCTGCCTGTAATCTATCCCAAGGACACTTTGTTTGGCCAATTTGCCCTGTCAGCAAGCCAAGGATGGAGAACAAGACTTCTAAGTGTCTACAGTCCACATGGAATAATATAGTTATGAAGCTTATTTTAGTATGTTCCTATTCATCAAAATTATACGGTTAAATTAGAAGTCATCTTCCTGACCATTCACAAATATGTGTGCCAGATTAAGATTAAGATGTAATCATGAGATTACATCTACACATTACATGAAAATGCAAGATAAATGGGGAGATATCATAGCTGTTATTGCACAGGTGAAATTACAGGTGAAAGCAGCAGTGTTCAGAGTCAGTGATCTGTAAGCCTTGCTGACAGGGTACCCCATCTGAGAATGATTCCTCTGGTGGGTTGACATCTGAATTATCAATTGCTATAAGCTATAATTACATCATGGTCTGCAATAGCTCGTGACAATCACTCCTGATAAGACATGCTAACATGGAAGGGGAAAACCTCACCAGGGCCCCAACCCTAAACAAGTTAGGAATGCTAAGAGTAAAAGAAATAGACCTGCCTTGGCTCGGTGTGCCGGGCTCTGCTGACTCCCCATGGGAGACCTCGATTTGGAGGATGTGGGGATGGGGGGTGGCTTGGGAGGGAGGGCTGAGGGTGGGAGGAGAAGGAGGTGGGATCTGTGGGTGATATGTAGGGTGAGTAGAAAATTTCTTAATAAAAAAATGAAAAAAAAGAGTAGAAGAAATAGACTTCCCTGTAGATGTATCCAACTGTCTTATTAAATAAGAAACACAGAGCCGATTCAGAGAAGAAAGCCAAGAGGTCAGAGCTAAGAGCCTTACCCTTCCTGCTTCAGCCAAGAGAGCTCTCCGAAAAGGGCCTACTTCCTGTGTGTATGTCTTTATTATGTATACAGAAGAGGGCACCAGATCTCATTACAGATGGTTGTGAGCCACCATGTGGGTGCTGGGAATTGAACTCAGGACCTCTGGAAGAGCAGTCAGTGCTCTTAACCTCTGAGCCACCTCTCCAGCCCCATGTATGTATTTAAATAGTCTTTCTGTTCTGTCTTTTCATTGGTTGTAAACCCAAACATATGACTGCCCTCGTCACTGCCTGTCGGTAGAGACTTCCAGGTCTTCTATGGTTGGTATTGAGATTAAAGGCGTGTGTCTCCAATGCTGGCTGTATCCTTGAACACACAGAGATCTACCTAGCTCT